TTCTCTGCCACTGTCACCAGAGTGTCCAGCTTCATGCCGACCACAGAGCCCGCCTTCCTGATTAGTTTCTCCATTTATTGTTCTTTTCCACTGAATGGAGCTGAAGCCTTGTCGTCTCGGCTCTCTATGTACTGTATATACAGTACAGTATATACTGTACTGTATATACTGTACTGTATATAGCAGAGAGGAGAAAGTTTACTTTGAGTTTGACAAATTTAGATTAAGAGCAGGAGATCGTTTAGACTGTGTTTACCTTGTTATTGACAAGTGGCTGTTCGAGATATCAGTTCTGGTGGCATCTGTGGTTGCTACTGTAAGAGCAACTCATAGTCAGATCATCTTCATCCAAACACCAAGATGGGATGGTTTGGTGGCAAACTCGCGGTTCCAGCTGCGTCTTCACAAACCAATTATTTCACCGTGGCTTGTCCATCATTTAATACAGTCTGTAATCAAACCACCATTTTTCTCTTGCATGCATGACAGGATACCTTGCATTCAGTTCTGTGTTGGACATGGTAATATGTAATTATGCTGTCATAACCTGAGAGGATACATGAGCGTGGACATTCCCTAAAGTTCATCCGTGTCAGATCCACAGGGAATGATCTGTCCGTGTCAGCAGCTACACCTCAGCTCGTCAATTTTCAACAGGCTAAATATTTCACTTTGTGTTTTATGAAAGTTATGTGTAAATGTCATGTCTTATGAAGACTGGCTGCTCTCTTGCTTCATGTTACCAGGAGCGTTGGAGCTGGCTGACTGCTCAGCTGACCTGCCGGGGCTGAAGTGGATGCCTGGGGTCACTTCCTGGAAGGTACTGGATTTTATTTATTTACCGTATTTCCCGGACTACAAAGCGCACCTGAATATTAGCCGCACAAGCTAAAATCAGGGGAAATCCTGTTTTGTACATACATTAGCCGCACCTGACTAAAAGCCGCAGGTGTTTCAATGTTGACTTATCATATGTAAGAGAATATGCACAAAGGGAATTGTCAGGAAAGAGATGGCTGTTTGGAGACACACCCCTTTTATTAATATTTTGAAAAACAAGTTATGGGTGCATATTTGCATAACTTTGTATATGTACAAGCAGCGGTAATTACAAGTACCAAACATGTACTGTGCTTCATAAACGAGTAACAAATGTAGTACATAACAATAACCTACAGCACACCAGAAAAATAGATTCGG